CACACTGCGGCATCGGCAGAAGGTGGGTGCTGATCTCCTAAAAGAGAGAAGAAACATTCCCAATCTGCAGTCGGAGGGGATTTATGCTTTTTCTCCTCGTTTTCCTGCTTTGCAGCGGTTGGGTTTATTTCCAGCGGGTGCCTCTAAACAAAACTCATGGTCCAGGCTGGGATGTCTCTGCTCAGGAGAGCGGAGCGGCTCTCCCCCATTCAAATATTAATTAGCTCATTGCAAGAGGGAGATTTCCTCATTTCGGAGGGGGTAAGAAAACAGATATATATATTTTCTTACACAATATGAAATTGTGTTATCATCCCGCCACCCAGGGAAGGGTCCCCAGCCCCTCCGGGGTGCCGGGGAGCGGGATGCGGGCGCGCTGGGGAGGGGATGCCCCGGCGACGGCGGCATCATTGTGCGAGGCTGGAGCGGGGCAGCGCTGGGAGGCTGCACACAAACCCGGAGATGAAAAGGGTGAGAGGCCTCGGCAAGTGAGGGCTGTCGGGGTGATTAATGGGGGTGAGCGGAGGGTGAGGCCCCTCCTTCCCCAGAGCCACAAGATGGCAAAGTGATTCGAAGAACAAGAGAGCAGTGTTTGCCCAGAAAGCCTCCTGGAAAAAAGAAAATACACTTTATTCCCAGTAGCCTGCAGAGCCGAGGGTTCCTCTCCTCTTTGCCTTGTTGGTTGGGGTTTGGTTTGGTTTTCTTTTTTGTTTTTTGTTTTTTTTTTTTTTTTCTGGCTGGTGTTTTTGTTGGGTTTTGTTGTTTTTGTTTTTTTTTTTTTTAACTATTTTAATAAAAATAAATAAGTGCAACGAAGACGTGTAAATGGCAGTGAGAATTGCAGCGCGCTGCCGGGTCAAAGCCGCCTGGGAGCTGCCGTATATTTACATCTCTATTTGTTTAGAAAACAATAACCCACAGGGAGGAAGAGGAGAGGTGCTGGCAGGGCTGGTGCAAGGCGGTTTTGGGGGGCCGGCATGGGGGAGAACCCCCCCCCCTTCCCCCCCCAGGAACAAATCTCTGGGCCTGATGGAATTTTTTTTTGCCCGGCAGCTAAACCCCATGAGTTTCCATCCCCGTGGATGTGCCACACGGATGCTCCTTTCCAGCTTCCCCATCCCGGGATGCTCCATCCCCGGGGCCGGAGCGGCAGGGGGATGCCGGGGGGATGCTGACCCCAAAACCACCCCAAAAGGGATGGAGCGAGGTGGGGAGCAGCATCACAGCTGCGGTTGCCCTCCCTACCACGTCTCCTCCTAATTTAAGACCTGGAAGGGCCAGAGCAGAGGGGCAAGCGCAGGATGCTGGTGGTTACGCTTCGCTGTAGGGTTTTTAATGACCGAGTAGGTCATTTTCCCAGCCCAATTCCCGTGGTCTTCCCAGATCCCGAAGCCGGGCAGATCCTCACAAGCCCCCCCAGGTGTCATTAAATCCCAGGGAGTGAGTGTGGCCAGAAGGATGCTGCGGGGGTCCCAAGCCCCAAGTAGGGCTGCTCTGCTCTTCTCCCGTCTTTCCTTCCTTCCTTCTGTCTTTCTTTCTCTCCACATCCCTCTTGCCGTCCCACCGTGCCCTCGGGAACGTGTAGGGACCCAGAGGGACAGCAAAATATAATGCCTGCCATGTACCGGCTCGAGACGCTGGAGTTGCACAGAGCGTACACAGCCGGGTTGAAGCTCATTTCCACAAGAATCATCATTTTAAGGAAATTAATTAAGGTTAAAAAAGCCACTGGAATGGGACCTGGGTGGTTTTCTGGTAATTCCAGGTTAAGCGAAAGGTGGGTGGTGGGGCTTGCGAAGGATCCAGCAGCATCGCGACGCCGCTCAGCTGCGGATGCTTTCCCGGTACCGGCATCCTGGGGAACGGTGGCTTCGCTGGGACCTCGGTGACAAATCCTGAGGGCTCCCGAAACGCCGAGCGAGGAGAGCGATGAGAGATGCCAAGCGGCGGAAGGGGTTGGGGTGGAGGTTGTCTGGGGGTATCCGTTGGGATGTGCTCCTGCCCATCAGGTTTTGGGATGAAAAGCCCTCGAATCGGTCCCCTGGGAGAGGCTGGAAGGGGAAGGGTGACCTTGAGCCCAGCCCCTGCCACCCACAGGACCCTCGGGGTCCTGGGTGTGGGAGGGAGAAGGAGCAGAGGGGCCTGGGGGGGGGGGGTTCTCCTCAGGGCACCCCTCACCCCTGCCCTGAAGGTTTTCCCTCCTGGATGCTCTCAGGGAGGGTCCTTCCCCTTTGGGGAGTCCCCTGGAGACCCCCACACTGATCCCCTTGGCAGGGGGACATCCCTCTGAGCCCTGACTGGCACAGCTGGGGGACCCCACTGCACCCCGCTGTGCTGCCATGCCTCCACTCATAAGGAAAATATACCCACATATAGAAACAGGGACGTATAGAATTACAGACGCATGGACGTGGGGACATACCGACCCACAGACACGCTCTCGCTCCGTCCCCTACAACCCCCCCATAGCCCAACGCAAGGACCTGACGCGCAGCTCCGCAGCCGGCACGTATATAATCCTACCCCTACACATAAGGACGGTATATCGGGGGGGCGGCCACCAGCACATAGCGGGGCGCACGTGGGCACACCGCACATTTCGGGGTGTCTTTGAGCACCCACGCAACATCCCCCGGGGCACTTTTCTCTGCCTGCAAGCCCCGGGGTTATATACATCCGCATCGATACGTATAGAGGCAGGTAGAGAGGGAGGTTGCGCCACCGCACGCGTAAATCCAGCTGTTGCACCGGGTACCCGAGCAGGATCGGGGCCGCATCCTGCACCGGGTTCGGCCGCTTCGTTACCTCGGCACATAAATTAGGCATGTGCACACGCACGCACACGCACGCACACCCGCGCACACACACACACACACGCGCGTGCGCTGGCCCAGAAAGCGATTAGCTGCCGCTCAAATTTGCATCTTATTAACATTCCCACAAGGGTTATTTTCCAGCCAAAGGCGGGGCGGGTGCCGGCTGCACAGAGCGAAAATAAAAAATAAAAAAAAATTAAAAAATAAAATAAAAAAATGAAACCCTCCAGCTTTGGGGTGCTTGGAGAGGAGGATGAGGCTGGGTTGGGGGGGGGGGAGGAAGGGCAGGGGGGGCAGTGGGGAGGTGCTGAGGGGGCGACGGGAGCCGGCGGTGGGAGACGCGGGGCCGGGCGCATTGGGAAGCGAGTCACGTCGGGTAATTTATGGTTGATGCTTCTGCGGGAGTTTAAGACCTCGATGCCTTCCATAAACTATTTTACTTGTTTAAAACCCGCGGTGGCGGCGGGGGCTGGGAAGGAATTTTTTGGGGGGCGGCGGGCAGGGTGGGAGGATTCCGGGGGGTGTGTGTGTGTGTGTGTTATTTGTATATCCCTTGGGAATTACGACTGGCTGGGGGGGGGGGGGGGGGGGGGGGCCTGTCGCATCCCTGTAGCCACCGCTGACCCCCTCCCCCTGATCCCCCCAGCCCCGGCGGGGTCAGCGGTGGATTTTTTTGGGGTGCTGAGCACCTCTGGGTCCCCCCTTTTCCGCCTCCAAGCTGATACCTGAGGCTTGAAAGCAAAGCGGGGGCCGGGGGGGGAGGAGGGGGGGGGGGGGGCAGCCCCTGAGTCTCATTCTCAATTAGAAAACCTTTTACTCTCTGGAAAGGCAGCGGTTGAGAGAGCGAGGGAGCGGGAGAGGCATTTCCAATAGTCACACTTGTCAAGTGAGACCATCTTTTAGCCCTCAGGAACAGCAAATCCCCGTGAACTCTGGGTGAACCAAGATTGAAGTCATAAATCAGCCCTACAAAAGCCTGCTGCTGGATGCGGGTGCCGGGCTCCTACCTTTAACGCTTTCACGGGCGAAGGAGGAAAGGAAGGAGGGGGGTGGGGGGGCGGGGGGGAGGGAAAGGGCAAAAAATAAAATGCGTTGAAAAAAAAAAAAAAAATTAAAAAAAAAAATTCGCATTCTCTGCACACTGCCTGAGGGCGGGGGCGGGAGGATGAGATGAGGAGGGAGGGGGGGGGATGCTGGTGCTTTCTGAGGGTGAAATGAAGGCTCTTCACCCCCCCCCCCCTCAATGGGTTGGGGCTTTTGGGTAGGAAGGGGGGGGGGGTGTTGGAGGGAGGGAGTGTGAAGATGAGGAGGTCTGCGGAGGGGGAGGAAGGAAAAGGGTGGAAGGGGAGATGGAGGAGAAAAAAGCATTGATTAGTGAAAGGAAATAGCTGGCGTAATGGATCTGGAGGAGAGGGCTCTTTGACGGAGGGGCCATCGATCCGCTAATGGGAGAAAGAAAATGGGAGCGAGGAAAAAAAAAATATATATATATATATAAATATAAAAAGCCTATTAAGAAAGAGCGGGGAGTGTGTGCTGCATACATATGGGCAGGGTGCGGGCTGTCTGCCCCTGCCTGTACCTGCCCGCAGCACCCCGGCGCCCGCTTCTCCCCACGCAGCAGTGACACGCGTGGGATGCTTTATTTTTAACCCCCTCCCCTTAATAAAACCTCCTTGACCTGGGCATCCCTTAGGCTTGTAGGGGGAAAAAAAAAAAAAAAAAAAAAAAAAAAGAGGAAAAAATAAAATACTGCTTCACCTCAGGCTGGGATGCTCGGGGGAAACTTTCACCCACCCGCGTCCCCTCTCTCTGGGCTAATCTAAGATGACAAACAATATGATGGATATAGTTTATGTTAATTCGCAATGCCCTTTCCTCCAGAATTTAACTGTAAGTTAATGTACACCGGAAACTCCAGCTCTCCCTGCTTCGCTAATGGGCTGAGGTATTAGCTGGTTCTAACGATGCATACAAATGTACTTGTCTCTGTGGGCTGCCCCAAGATTTATGACTCTTTTGCCTTCTGTAGCTGTAAACAAGGGAGAAAAAAAAAAAAAAATAAAAAAGCCAGTCCATGCACCGCTTACTACCTGAAGGAGCTTTAAAAAAAAAAAGAGGAGGGCGGCAGCCCGGCGCAAAAACTTGACTTTTTATTTTTTTCTTTTTATTATTCTGTTTCAGGTTGAAAATGGCATTTTTGCAGCCCGGGTGCGGAGCGCGGTGCAGGAAATTTCCAGCTTGGATTTGCAGAGATATGGGGCGCAGCCCCAGGGAGTTTCCATCCATCCATTCCCGCCCCCCTCCTCCCTCCGCGGCGGAGCGCGCAGCCCCGCGCAGCCCCGCGCAGCGCGCACTGGGGGGGTGCGGGGTCCTCGGGGGGCATTTGAGGGTCGGGGGGGCCAGTACGAGGAGCTGCGCGGAGGTGCGGGCGGGGGGTTTAGCGCAGCTCGGTGCGGTGCTGGGATTTTATTTTTAATATTTTTTTGTTCTTTTTTTTTATGTGTTTTTCTAGAGCAAGAGGGGAGCCGCGGTTGGTTCCTCCTCCAGACATTCCCGCTGCCCCCGGAAGAGATCACAGCTTAAAAAAAAAAAAAAAAAAAAAAAAAAAAAAAGAAGAAAGGAGGGGGAAAAAAAAACAAACAAACAAAAAAAAAAAATGCGAAATGCAGCAAAAAAAAGGGCAATTTCGGAAAAATCTTCGCTCCTCCGCGTTTTTCCTCCGGAGCCGCCGCCGCCGCGTTTGCAGCCGCCGGAGAGGGGCGAAGATGCCGGAGTTTGGGGGCAAATTTAAAAGATTTGGGAAGAGTTTGCTAAGCTAAATTTGTATTTCTTGAGCGCTGCGGGCTGGTAGGTGAAAACTGCGTCGGTGTCCGGGGGGGTTTGCTGGGCTTGAGGACTCCGTGAGGCCCTAAAAATGCATTTTAGGGGAAAAAAAAAAAAAAAAAAAAAAGCAAACTGGAGGAGGGTGGGATATGAAAAGGAATTTAAACCTCGGTTAAGTTTCTTCTTGCTTTTATTATACCTTTTATTGGCTTTTTTAAGGAAATTAAGTTTGATTTCTTGCCGGAGTTGTGGTTGTCGGGGTGTTTTGGAAAGTAGTTTTCAGTCGTGGGACTTGTAGCCGTCACGGCAGATGTATTATATTTTATATATTTTATATATTCTATATATTCTATATCTATACGCACACGCAGTTTTAACATCTGTATAAATATATATAAATAAATAAAATTAGAAAGCTGCTCACATTGCATCAAGAAAAAAAAAATAACCAAAAACTCACCAAAATACTCCAAGGAGAGGTGGGAACTCGCAATTTTTACTCTCTTTAGAACCCGGGGGTTCCAGCAAAGCTCAAGAAACCCTCTGCTCTCCTCCCTCTTTTCGTGGCTAATAAATATTTTTGAAAAGGGCCCGGGAAGCCCGAGCCCGGCGGGCCAGGAGCCGATCCAGCCTTTCCCTCCTCCCCGGTTCGCGGAGTTATTTTAATATTCCACTTAAACCCCAAATGGGTTATTTTTGGGATGTGTGGAACACGCCTCCTGCCCATTCACATGTTGCCAATTTAATCTGATTGCTCTTTAAAAACCACTTTTCTTTTATTCTTTCGGGGCGAGAGAGGGGATTTCAAAAATAATCGGGGGAAAAGAGAAGAAAAAAAAAAAAAAAAAAAAAAAAAGCAAACTTGGCCGGGGGAAGAAAGGCGAGTCCGTGTGATGGGTCGGAGCCACATGGTGCTACTTAAAATGTTCGCTTTGAGATTCATAAAATATTTAAAGCCCCGAGTCAAGCCTTTTCTATTTATTGCAGTGTATAATTCAAAATTATCGTGTATTAATAAGCCAATAATGATAATCTCTATAGGAAAAGCGCGCTAGTTGTGCTGGTTTTATGGCTGCCCTTATCCTGCCTAATAACCTTTGGCTCGGCTCTGCAATAACTCACCGCCGAATGAGCAATTGCCTGGAGCGCCTTAAATATCTCCGCGGCGCTGCCCCGGCCCCCCCCGGCCCCCCCCGGCCCCCCCGGCCCCCCCCGGCCCCCCCCGGCCCCCCCCTCCCGCGTCATCCCCGCGCCGCGCCGGTTCGAGCCCCCGCTCCGCCCGCTCCGCGGGGCGCGGGGGGGGAAAGTCCTTCTTCCCTTCCCCCCTTTATTATTATTAGTAGTAGTAGTAGAGTTATTGTTGTTGTTATTATTGCTATTATTATTATCATCATCACCCTTATCACCATAACATTATTAACATTGTCATTAATATCATTGGTTTCTATTTTATGATTTTATCCTTTTGATATAACACCATATTATATGGTGTCTATTATCTATTTTCTATTATCTAACATAAAAATTATAAATTATAAATGATATCATTTTTATCTTATCTTTTACATTTTCTATCATTTATTTTATATATATTACATATTATAATCTTATATATATTATACACCCTATATCCTATATTACACCTAATTTATAACTTTTGTATCATATTATGTCATTATATTGTATAATATTATACCATATATTATATATAATATTACGTATCCCATTATATATCTATATCTACTATATACTATTATATACTATTCTATATCTATTCCATTATATCTCTATATCTATTATATACTATTCTATAGTATAATATACATTATACTATATAATATATATAACTCATATATAACATAACATAATATAACATAAATAATATAGAAATATGCATGTGATCTTTATATATATAGTACCTGATATAATGTCTATTATAATATTATTGTTCTTGTCATTCTAGTAGTAGCAGCACTAATACTATTACTAATACTATTATTATTTGCTCATTAATACTTATTGTTATTTGGCTTTGCTATTATCATTAATAATAGAATTATTCTCAATATTATCTCCTCAAAGCCAAGTTTCAGCGCTTCTTTTCTTTTTAAAAGCCAAATGCCCCAAGTTGGGAATTCAGGAGCATCGCGGGGGGGCGCGAGGGGAGGAGCCCCCAGAACTGCTCCTTTACCATTTTCCTCCTCATTTTTACATCCTTATCAATCCCCCTGAGCGTGTGTGTGTGTGTGTGTGTGTGTGTGTGTGTGTGTCCCAGCACAGCACACAAGCGTAACACGCCTGCGCACACGCCAGGCCCACGCGCCGCACAGGTGCGCGCACACGCGTTGCACACACCCACGCACACACGCGTGCGCACCCTCCCCGATCGACCGATTCGCCACCAAAGTGACTTTTCACCAAGAGCCGCAGAGACTTTTTGGGGGGGGGGGGGGGGGGGGGGGAGGGAGTGGGGAGAGAGGATGTGCAGCCGCTGGCACTTTTGGGGCTTTTTTGAAGCATTTTCGGGGAGCACCAGACGCAGCTTCAGCAGCAGAGAGGGGACACAAACCGGTGGCCACGTCACCCGCGATCGCGCTGGGGGGGGGGGGGGGGGGGGGAAACTGAGTCACAGCAGCTCTTCGGAAATGGGGTTTTCCGGAAAGCGGCGGGAAATGGGGGTTTTGGCCATAAAAGGTGGATTTATGGCAGAGCTGTCTCCCGGTTACACCGCGAGCCGATGCGCGGCTGCGGGATGCAGCACACGTGTTGCCAGCGGGGTCCTGACACGGGTGCACACGCGTGGCACAACCTTCCGGGGCTCGTGGTGGTTCGACACACCCGATTGCACCCCCACGGGCAAAAAAAAAAGAACCAAAAAAAAAGGGGAAGGGGGGGGGGGCCTGGCCTAGCCTGGGGCTTCATCCGTGTGCACTGGCACAACCAGGGGGGTTTCATCGGGAGCCCCCCACCCCCCAAAAAAACCCTGCAGCATAGGCCAAGGGGTCCCCGACCCTTTGCAGAAAAGCCGCGTGTGTGAACACGCAGGTACCGCCCGCACACACGTGCACACACGTGTGCACGGAGCACACGGCCTGAACACAGAGGATCCCGCGCCCCCCCCCCCCCCCGAAAACACCCCTCCGAGGTGCACAGCCCGTGCAGACCCCTGCACCCCCCATCCACCCCCCCCCCCAAATCACACACCCAGCACAGCCTCCCCCACCCCTCAACACACCCCCCAAGTTGCACACCCAGTGCATGACCCCCCCCCCCAAACCTCCATGCATCGTGCAACCCCCCCAAATACACCCCACAAGTGCAGACCCCCCACACACACGAAGTTCAGACCCATGCAGATCCCCCCCCCCCCAGTGCGGAACACCCCCAGAATGCCCAACCCCTGTTATATGGGGACACTTTCCAGGACAACACACCCCCCACCCCTTAAGGTCACCTCCCCCCGACAACCCCCCCCCCTTTTATTGCCCAGGCGCCCCCCCAACCCCACACTTAAGGGGAGGCAAGGGGGGGGGGGGTCTCCCCAAATCCCCACAGCCCTCAGCGCCCTCAAACCACCCTCAGCCCAAGCAGAAAACCCATTCAAGGGGAGTTGGGGACAACGCCACCCCCCCGTTTATGGGCGTCCCCCCCCCATCCCCAACCCCCCCCCCGCCCCCCCCGCCTCCCAGTATAAGGGAAGCCTGGTGGTACTGGTGCTCCTGGGCCGATCCCCACCCAGGCCTGACCTCTGGGTGCCCTTCGTTAAAATATTCAGGGAGACAAAGCCCCGGGTGGGTGCAGCCCCTCCCCAGGCATTGCGGGGGGGGGCACCATCCTTAACCCTCCCCCCGGCCCCCCCCAGAGGGGCCTGATCCTGAGCACTGCGTCTTCTGGGATTCATGAGACACCCACACACACACACACACACTCCCCGGCACCCCCCCGACACTGGGACCCCGCGGGGGGGGGGGGGGGGGAGCAGCTCGGCACCTCCCGCTCCACCCCACACGCGTGCACACGCGTGTTCGCCCCGGGGACGCGTGCCGAGGCGTCAGCCGCCGCGCCCTTGCGTGCGGGGGGGGGGGGGGGGTTGCACGCCTGCAAGGGCACCCTCGTGGCAAAACACGCGTGGGCGTGCCCACGGGCGTCCCGCTCCTCTGGGTCAACACGTTTGGCCGCCGCCGCCACGCTCACGCGCAAACACGCCCGCACACGCGTGCGCAGGAGTCACACGCAACTCCCCGGCTCTAAAATGCTTTTACCAAACCAGCAGCCCCGAGCACCCCGACCCCCGAAGCGATGGGGGTGTCTGGCCTCCCCTCCACCATCCCGGACCCCCAAACCCCCCCCACGCAGCACAACC